GAATAAAGGAAATGATCACAAATTAAAGAAGTTCTTGATTGTTAATAAATTCTCCTTGTCAGCAGCTAAGAATTAGTATAGAGGAAAGTATGGAGAATATGCATATTGATGTTAGAGTGTAAAGGGTTAAGGGAGAATACATTTAATTTTTTACCTTATACACATCCAATGATTTCTCTACAAAAGCTTGCAAACTGTATGTAATAGGAGGACAGAAAATGATAATTTAAATAAATATAATGTAGGAGCAATGAAAAATAAATAAACTGAGTAAAAGTAGCATCATCTTCAGGGTTGTAGATAAAAGCTAGCAGTTGGCAAAGTATGCCGGCTTCTCTGCAAGGTTTTGCCAGCTACTTTCATTCCTTCAAGAGCCTGTACAGAGATGATGTTCATCAGGTCTAAACTTGGGCTCAATAAAAATATAAATTTGCATTGTCTATCTTTTCTGAAAACATAAAAAGACTTCTGACTTAAGGTTAGTTTAAAAACGTTCTGATCGGAACTGCCTTTTGATAAATCTTACTGTGATGGCAAGAAAGTATGAACAATATGACGTTTTCGAGATATGAACATAATTATAATTGTGTGAGAAGGAAGCTGGGAAAGCCCATTGTATGGGTCCTTTGGACCCACAACCGTTTACCTTTAAAAAGCTCTGGCTACTTAAAACCTTAAAGAAAACCCTGATCTTTCCAATGAAATACAAGTACACTGTATGCATGTAAACCACTTCCACCATAAAAACTGTACTTGAAAATAGCATAAAAAACTGTAAAGAAGGTTCTCTCTGTACATCTCTGTACAGCTCTGTACATCTCTGTACAGCTCTGTACAGAGGTTCACTCAAGACCAAAATTGAATAGTGCTGTTGCCTCCTTCAACACGAAAACTTCTTCTTAACTCCCAAGATCTGATTGTTAATTCTCCTAACTAACTGTACATTTTCTTTTATATTAGTTATAAGAATTTGGTGTTAGATCAATATAACAACTACCTGAAATTTTGAGTGTTCTCGTTACCTGTTTGCTAAATAATGTAAGGATATTAAAGGGAGAGGTTATTGGTTAATCTCCTCCATGACTTAAGCCCAGAATATTCTCAACAACATGTACAGCTCTCCTTGAAAAACTACTTTCTTCAGTAAATATTATTTTAGAAAAGACATTGATCAACTCTGTCTTGCTAACCATAAACAACCAGGTAGAGCATCAGCAGCTGTCTAGTTCACTGGTGACCAAACATTTTATACAACAATGTACACAGGTCTACACAAATGTTTCCAAGCATAACACACCTGCTGTAATAGTCTTCATATCTTGTTGGATCTGCGTCACTGGTTTGGGATTTCGAAAAAAAAAAAAACATTAAGCATAATGTCAGATTTAATGGTAGGTCATTGAATAAACGAACTGAACCCCTTTACTGGCTCTTGCTATTAATTATTCCCAATATCAGCTATACATTCACAATGCATTGTAGCATTAGTTCTGAGAATTTGATTAATTAAAATAAGCTAAATGAAACAGTGACCCCAATTGATATATCTCTTTAGTGTCATCACTGATCTGCTTGAAAATATGACGATTATTTGAAGAGAAATCACCCATTTGGTTACTCCAAGAGGTTAAGAGGTTATCGAGTCAATGCACCTAGGTTTGTAGCTGCTAAAATTTCAACCTGTTATACGCAGATAAGACCGAGGAAATATCTGGCTCTGAATCTGGAGTAGTTTGAAGATTTATTTCTTCTATTGCATCTAGCCCATTGACTTCTTGCCTGAAGATTTTCTCAGTTTCCTAAAACAAAAGAAAATATGCTTTATGCACTCTGAAACTTTAAGAGAAATCACATGTTCAAAGTACAGTAAATTTGAAAAAAAGTTAAATACAATATTTATGAAACTAACAGACAAATTCTTCTTCTTCAAAAACTGAAGGACTGCGAGTAACGTTTCTTTTTCTTTACTCGGAGGATTAGATTTTGTCTGTGCTGAGGGCGCTGTGCCGCTCGAATTGGCAGCCATGTTGTATTTGGCTGTAAGAGACTAAGAACGAAAGACCGTATAAACGAGCCCTGATTGGTCAATCTGATCCTCGTACCAGATTCTTATCAAATCTTGTAAAGATAAGAACGGCTGACAAACGACAATTGAAGAATTTCTACTTGTTCCAGAGCTAGACCAGGTTTGGGATAAAATCTCGTTCGACCCTTCTTTTTGGCAGAATGGAAGAAAAAGTTTTCAATTATTTATTTGAGATAAAAAAGTGCTTGAAATCCGTTAATCGACGATGACGATATTCCGAACGATTGATAGATTTGGAAATATTTTATGGAACTGTCATTAAAATCATCAAGGAGGTCTTTCCTTCTTTCGCTCCATGCCTGATTAAAATGAACCTTTGTAGACCTCAAAAACAAAGAGCAAAGGCGCAGAAGAATGCTCAAGTTGGTAGAAACGGGCTTCAAAGTCTTAAAACAGCTGAAAATCAACGATGTTACAATAGATGTGGAAAATTTTGGGACGCCGTGTAAGCGATTTTAATTCTCGTTTTGAGATTAATTTTAGTGTATCTGTTTGGCTGCCATTTGGTCATTGTTTACAATTATTTGGCGTCTAATTTACCATGTTTTGAGGTTTTACAGATTTCATTGGATCTTCGATATTAATTTTTTTTTATTGTTCGGCGTTCAAGTCTTGAAACCTTATTATTATGTATATGATGAAAGATAAAGTTGATAACCAACTTGTCATTTAAGGAAATATTAGAAGGAAATTTTGAAAGAAATGGTGGAGGGAGAAGGCTGTTCTCATACTTTGAGGTAGCTCTAAGGAGTATTTAATTTTTTGTTGCCATATTTTTCATTTCATTCCATGGCTCGTCAAGAAGAGAGCTTGCGTGACGTGCCAAAAGAATGTCTGCTCAGGGGCTAGTAGATCGTAAACTCTTGTTCTGAGTCAACATTGAATTTATCACTTTCCAAGTATGACTGTTGGTAACTCGGACCAACGCATCCCACATTTACGCCTATTAAGGCGTCTCGCTTTCTTTATACCCGAAAACGAAATTTCAACCAGAGTTACGGTTTATTTTAATTTTACGTTTAACTTCCATTTCATTTTTTCTACAAAAAATACTCGCACTGCTTGAAGTTGACACGACGTGATCATTCGTGAAAAGGACGCCCGTTCAAATGGCGATAGGCTAAGCTTTAAAATCAGAAGCCTTTATTAGACTTCTGGCTTAAAACGAAAAAAGAAAGAGGCAAATATCTGAAGAACTGTGTGAATTCATTAGCGAAAACGAACTAAATGTTCCTCTCAATATTCCACTTGGCTTATGTTATGAAGACGACCTCGGGCGAATGTCGTAATCGGAAATCAATCTGAGATTTCTTCCTTCCCACGGTTCTTCCAAACAAATACAATCGTTGCATTTGAACACGGACAGCAACACGCACACTCTTTGGTAGGTACGTCATGTATGGGCGCATATTATGTCCTTAATACATATTATATCC